AGGCCACCAGGAGGGACCAGACCTAAAAAGAGGGAAAAAGTGTACCTCCTACGTCGGAACATCAAAACCAAACGACCAAGCTCGAAACTTGACCATCTAAAGTTAGGACCATTCGAAATCGAAGAAAAAACAGGACCGGTCAATTATCGCTTGAGACTACCTGACAGCATGCGACGCATTCATGCGAATTTTCATATATCGTTACTCGAACCCGCACCGAAAAACGCTAAACTCGCTGCAAATGTGGAAATAGAGGAAGAAACAGAAAACGAATATGAAGTCGAGAGCGTCCTAAACATGAAGCGTGTCAACGGAGAACCCCACTACCTAGTGAAATGGAAAGGCTACGATACCTCGGAAAACACATGGGAACCTATCAAGAACCTGACGGACTGCCGCCAGCTGGTTCAACAGTTCCACCAGGAGGCTGGCCAAAGACGCCATCAAGGGAAGAAGCGTCCGGGACGGCCCAGAAAGCATCTGGCATCTGGTCCATCGACGCCACCATCCTCGTCAGACTCGAGTCTGACGTAGCAGCCAGTTGACGAATCTCTTGCTGCTCGGCCAGACGGTCGAACTCCGAAAGCTCAGCAAGAGATGGGGGATCGTCCTCATTGAGACGATCCGACACCACCGAGTCGTGATCCAACATCCGACCACCACGATCTTTGAGAAATTGTTGATGTTTCTGCAAGCGAAGAATTTTCGCCATTGCCTCATTCATTTTTTGGGAATACTGAAGAAATTGTTTTTGGGCCTCAGTAAGGTCCGCCGAAACTTTCTGCTCCTCCCGTTGCAAGTCATCCCACTCCTTGTCGGTATGAAAGCTTCGTTCACACACCTGGCCCCGACGAGCGCAGGTGGAACACTTCTTGCTATTCGCATAAGGACTCATAATGCAACACTTGCCACGGACGAGACAATAATCACAAGGGGATGACGCGGGGCGACCAGACTGTTCGATTCTAAGGGCAAGACGATTGTTGTCAGCGTACTTGTTACGTTTCGGCTTTTGAACAGCGGGTTTAGGCATATTGAACCATGACGGAGAAATTGAAAAACAGAACGGACCAACACTTACCTGAGGGGGGTGGACGTTTATAAAGGATTCTCGAGGACGAGAACCAAGGAGAGGGGAGGATGATGTTACGGACCCCGCGACGCGGGGGCTGCAACTCACAAATGGGCCATCGAGAGCCAATCATTTTGCAACCACCACAACCGCCCACAGGTCACGTGCGGAACATCATAAGAAACCATGGCCTTCCCACCAGAGCCACACGATACAGGATAACTGGGTCAACGGATGGGGAAGACATGGTTAACCCAGGCATCGTGCGAAGGGCAGCATCTTGCGTCGGGCTGGTCCCTACGGGTCGTTCCACCCTACGGTAGCTCGGTCCGCACGACAAGCTAGGGCGCGCGACGGAAGGCGCCACAGGAACCAGACCATCGCACGAATCACCACGAGTTCCTAGTAACCCAGAAAAGTCGTGGAGGTTCGTACGATAACACCCGACGCGGGGACAAGGACGCCATGCGATAAGCACGTAATCACAGGGTATACCAGCGGGTATACCAAGAGGTAGATGGAAGGGCACAATCTGGTATACCACCAGGTGTACCCTCCGATATACCACGCCACGAAGGATTAGATATATAAGGACACTCCTTACACACATGTATTTAGCTCTTCGCGATTAATCAATCTAAGTTACTACAGTATACCTTTTGGGATTACTCTTCATTCAGTTTCAGTCCTGTGACAAACATACTACAAGTAGGGGAGCTCTTCGGACTGACCTACTTGGCGCACTACCTGGCGCCTCCTTGAAGTTACTCTATAAGATCCGAGTCCGTGTAAGGCTTAGCACAGCAACGGTACGATTGCGAGTTGATACTTGAGGAGTACGAGTGATAGATATCACGACAACCAACGACACAGACGACAACTGGTAAGTTGTCCACCCAGATCTAACCACTCACTGTGACCAGTTAGCAAAGCGTGTAACAGTTAATAGTAGAAAATACTAACTCTAGTTCTACTAATTCTAATTATATAGGGTTAAATATAGTAAAGTAGTATAAGTTAGATCTCTATTAGTAAAGATACTAGTAATAAATAGAGTAAATATATATTTAAATTTTTTACTCTAATAAGGGAGGGAGGGTTAAATTATTAACTAGTTAGAAAAAGAACTTAGTAAAGATATACTAATTATAAATAGTATACTAATATTTTTTAATAGTCTTCTTTATATAATAGATATAATAATATAATAGTATATAGTAATATTAGATACTATTATAATATAGTAGAAGAGACTTAAAGTTAGAGAGTTAATTAGAGATTAGATTAAATAAAAAGAAAGTAAATAATTAAAGCTATAGTATAGAGAGGGTTTTTTAGATCTTAGAAGTAATTCTAGTTAGAATCTTATATATTAATAAAGTTAAATAAGTAATAATTTAGTTTAATTATATAGTAAATTAATACTTATAATAGATAAAGACTAGTAGTATATAAAGAGAAGTAAAAAGTTCTTAAGTAAGAGTAGAAATATTAGTTTCTATGATTAAGAGTTAAAAGGTAGAGTAGTCTAAAAATACTAGAAAGTAATTTAAAAAGTAATAAGTATATATTTAGGGACTATATATTAATAAGTATCTTTTTACTAAGTTTATTAAGTAGGTTAAAAATCCTAGAGTAGAGTTTTCTAGTTATACTCTATTAAAAATATTAGAGAGTTTTAGACTAATTAGAGTTAGCTCCTATAACTACTATAAGGGATAGTAACTTCTAAGATTTAAACTAGTAGTAGTAGAGATATCAACTTAGAACTTATAAAATTTTTAGAGTAATTATACAATAAAAACTCTATACAGTTAGATCCTAAAATATATAATAAAAGATAGGAATGCTTGTTGGCTGTCTGTCTAGCAGATGGGTCGATCACAAAAGAACAAAACCACAACACTCACAGAGTGCAAGAGTATAGTAGGCTATACGTAACACTGTAGAAGAATAAGAGAACAAAGAGTCGAGCCTTTTATAGATGGTATACCGATACAGTTACTGTATAGCCTTAGTAGGACATTTTGTAGAATCGAATCTGAATTGAATAGAAAAATCTCTCTCTGTGTGTGTGTATGTAAAGGAAAAACTAAGAAGATTACCGCGCCTGAAACAACAGAACAGAGGATAGTGACTGCTGAGGATCGCCGCTCGCTCGAAGATCACCGCTGATGGTCGAGATCTTCAAGGATGATAGTGTCCTAGTGACACTCCTCGCACTACTTATCCTCGCAAAACAAAAAGGAAGGCCTTGTTGGTAAGGCCTCAATCACATGACTAGGGGACTCCGATGTTGAGAGCGAAAATCCCCGCTACAATAAGTAGTTAGGTGGGTAGGGTGAATTCTACCTATACTTAAGAAACCCTTACTACTAAGTAGTCAGGCCTGCTACTCCAGGTCTCTTAGGTTAGAAGTCTAATAATATATATATATATATATTAAAATTTAAATTAGAGGAGAAAAAGTAGGAATTTAATAGAGAATTAACTAAGATTAGTTCTTTAGATATATAGATAAGTAATACTTTTAAACTTAAAAGTTTAATTAGTAATTAAAAGAATACTTTCTTTTTAGATAATCTAGATATAGATAACTCTAAGTCAGAATCTAAAGAAAATAATCTTTATATTAATAAAACTATATCAATTTATCCCCTTTTAACTACTAATTTATCTCTAATTTAGACCCTATCCCTAAATATTAAACTTCTAGTTCAAGAGATATCAATAGTTCGATCATCAAAACAGACATACAAGAATTGGAATTTTTATAAAGATTGTTAAATAATTAATACTATTAATTTATAATGTAACCTTCTTCTATACTTTATTAAAAATGTAGGTAAATATAGACAAGTTGATAGTAATTCGTACCCTTTTTAATTCAATGAATCAATACTAAACTAAACCGCTTAAATTACTAGATATTTATGCAACTCCACACACTAACCTCATTTAGCGAATATTAATCCCATAGGATCCTATGGGAATAGCTTCTTGCACATGGTCCCATAGCCAAGATCCCATGGGACTCACGTAAGTAGGAAATTCCCATCAAAATGGTGGGATTCCCATGGGAGCTATGGGAATCCCACCGCCCATGCACAGGTCTAACCAGGAGGAACCTTTTCTTTCCCATGGCACGGCCCGCACGGTTATTGATCGCTCTATAGTCTCAGACTGGAGCGTGCCCTTTGGACAGATGGAGCGTGAACGGAAAGATGGGGTACATCGGGCCAATCATGTGGCTCGTTGATAAGAAAAAGAAATAGATCGTGATAGGTTGAAGATGTGTGAGAATGCGCCATCGATTGTTCGGTGAATTGTGCCGTTTCAAATGCAAAAGGACATGTAACCTTCCAAGGTTGGAAAGTAATATTATGTAAAATTCCAGGGGACTTCTGTCTAAGCTTTTTCAATCTACGCCTCGGATATTGCGTGTTAGATCCCTCACCTGATGCACCATGTTGGCTCTTAAATTGTCTCTTTGTTTGCTTTGTTTCCCATTTTCCTCCTTGCACCTGCTATCTCAGCAGTTGAGAAGAGACTGTTAGTGCATTCCAACCACTTCACACTAATGTCTTTCATCGACGGAGTTACTACCCACCCAGTCCCTATTTTATCTTCACTTGAGCAGCAAAAACTGCCGGACAAAGAACATGTGACTGCGGCAGAAAGCGAGAATGAGAGGACCGCTGAAATGCCATTGGAATATGCTATCGGAGAAGGCGATTCAGATGTTGTCCTCGTGGATTTCGAGGAAAACGACCCAGAAAACCCTTTGAACTGGTCGTTAACGCATAAATGGCTGATTGTGTTTGTTGTCTCATGGATGGGTTTCGTCAGGTAGGCATCTTTTCTTTTTTTGTCTCGCAGGTCTGTATACCCTCCGTCATCAACTGACCGAATTAGTGTCTTTTCGACAATGACGGTTGTGCCCACGACGCCGCAGATCTTACAAGAGTTTAATTCGCATAGCAAGGTCGACCAGACCTTGCTCGTCACGATTTGGGAGCTTGGAGAAGGAATTGGTCCGTTTTTCATTGCACCGCTCTCCGAAAGATTCGGTCGGCTTCCTGTCTTCCATATTGGAAATTTCCTCGCGCTCCTTTGCTTGATCGCCAGCGCCCTGAGCGTAAACATTCCCATGTTGATTGCGTTCCGATTCCTAACGGGTTGCTTCCTGTCGATTCTCACTCTCGGACCCGCCATCGTCGGGGATCTGTTCGAAATGGAACGAACCGGCCAGGCAATGGCATTGGTTATGGGGACTCAAATGATAGCTGATTTTATCTCACCTATCGCCGGATCGTATATCGCACAGAGCCTGGGTTGGCGATGGTCGATTTGGCTGGCAGCTATCATACTTGGATTCTTCAGCTTTCTATTGCTGACTGTGCTCCGGGAAACATACACAGTGGTGATTCTGAGGCGAAAGGCGGAGAAGTTGCAAGAGGAGCGTGCGGATGAGAAGAAGTATCATTCGAAACACCAAGCCCTTGTCGATGAATCTACCATGCTCGAAAGCGCCATAAAACCAATGCAGATACTGGCACAGTCCCCCATCCTCATTCTGACCACAAGCTACATGGCCATAACATACGCATTGGTCTCATTGATTCTTTCCACGCTCACGGAAAACATGGAAACGACGTACCCCAATGTGTTCTCTAGCGGCTCTGTTGGCTTGACTTTTTTGAGTCTCGCGATCGGCAACACCGTCGCTTTGATCTTCTACAGTGTCACTTCCGACCGCTACATGATCCACCAGCGAGAAACGAAGGGCGACGCATTCAAACAGGAATCCCGACTGGTTCATCTAATTTTTGCCGCAATAATTCTTCCCATCGGCTTCCTGGTCTACGGATGGACATTACATTTCCATGTTCAATACATCGTGCCGCTCATCGGGACGTGCGCTGCAGGATTCAGCATGACGCTTTCTGCCATACCGGCTGAGACATATGTGGTGGATGTTTATGAAATTCATGGTGCATCCGCTATAGCTGGTGGTGTCATCTTCCGAGCGATTACTGGCGCCTTTCTGCCATTGATTGGCCCGGCTTTATATGATAGTATTGGACAGGGCTGGGGTAACACCGTTCTAGCTTTGATCGCAGCCGCTTTTATTCCTCCTTTGGGCTTACTGATGAGGTACGGATACTGGTTCCATAGTAAAGAACGGTTTGGAAAGTCTAGGCGATAGGTTAAAATGTTGGTTTCAGGGTTGTGATCAGTAGTACATATGTAAAAGTTTGAATGGTATATTCATTATACACCGTTACAATGCACATGCACATGTGTGGTCAAGGCGTTTAAGAACTACATTCAGTCAAAGTAAACAAACACTCTAGCTTCAATACTCTCCCGCAATTGTGTCTCATTAGTATTGCGAGCGTCGTAAAATGCCGTATGGGGAACCCCTGATTCAATAAGTTTTAGAGTCAAAATTCGGGGAAATGAATTCTCTAGGCGATAGGGTAAAATTTATCATACCTGCTCGGTTCTCCTCTTGGGAATCTGCCTGTACGAAGGCGATTACCTCGTCGGCCTGCAAGCCATGCCAATAGTACCATTTGTGACTACCGTCAAAGTATATGCGAGTATTTTCGTTAAGGTAGTTACTAGTAACAATGTCCATTGCAGTGGCCTGGGATTCATAGTCCACGGTACTGCGGTCGCAAATTGTCAGAGGAAAGTCGTATACTGGTCCTCTTATTGGCTTCCAGAGGCTGATGAGATGGAGGGTAAGCTTTGCGGTGCATTATTTCTGGGAGTCAAGGCAGATATACTTTACGACCACGAATCTTGAATAACTCTTTGGTGAAATGTTAAAATGCTTAATGCTGCATTTCGCAGCCGAGGAGGCCGTCATATCTGAGCATATGAATCCAATGATAGGATCAGTATACACGTGGATGCAGTCCAAATGTGCAAATGTTATATGAAAGATCATCAGCGCGTACCAATGTGCACATAATCGCTCGGTTGATTTGTGTTAAGCTCGTGTCGTTCTAAGCTCTCAGATAGCCAAAGAGGGTGACGTTTGCGAACCTGGTTCCCGCAGGTCAGCATTCCGAAGTGTTTAATCTTCAAACGATCTGGTCTTTTGCTCACTGCGTGCTCTAGGACTTCAATTCGCGCAGCATTTGGGAACAAATGCCGGGCAGCTGATATGTATTTCGGGTATAGAACTTCCTCTACTTTCTTATCGTCGCAATAATCCTCAGGTGTTAAAGAACAATCAAGGTGCAGCTGAGTAAACCCCTTCTGAAGGAACATCTCTTTCGACGGAATCTGCAGATTCCGAGCATTACGGATGTGGACAAATCGATCATCGGGGGATGTGTTTGTTGGAGGAAGATCAGACTCGTAGTTGAAGTGCAAATAATATGGCTTCACCAACCGGTGCTGCTCGTCTCTCGCAAGATACTGGATCTTTGCTTTGAACGAGTCATCACAGTCAACGACAGCCATTACTGCGCATTGAGCTCAGGAGACTCCGGCACCTTTCCAATATTCCTTAGAATGGCAAGCACGATTCAAGAGGTACTGTATGAGCAGATTAGATTGTTTATAATTTGTGGCAAAATCCGGTCACTGATTTTTGAATCTGAGGCCGGGCTTACGCGTGTTGGAAGTTGAACAGAGAACGGAGAAAACGCAACGCCGAGCCAAAGGAAGTTCAAGTCGAATGGGTGTTTTGGGTAGATTTCTCATTTGCTACACCGCATTGTCGTATATTACTGCAGATTATTGCGCATCATTGCGCATCATTGCAGTTTCTCGCGCTCGCTTCCCAATCAAGAATCTGATCCATTGGATATACTCAGGGGCCAGAATGATTCATCTGAGTACTTCACACAAGGCATCAAGTAAGATGAGCGTTTGATCCACGATACCCCACTAGTCCCCACTCGGTCCATCTTTGCCCTTGACTTGGAGGACGATCACTCCAGATGTCGTCCGCAGTACGAAAAATAAGGAGAGAGAGAGTCCTCATCCTGCACAAGGGGGTTTATCCACAATGCCAGTCTCTAACTCCGCGTTGTTGATCGCCATACAATTAAGCTTTCAATGCCCCATAAGCTATTCTGTGATTGGCTAGGTGCTTATCTCCCCAAATTTGGAATCTTGGAACCTAACGAAGCGGGGAAGGTTACGTTCGGGAATATCCGTAGCGGCACCAAATCCGATTTACTTAGGAATGAAGTGCGACGATTGGATAATGGTCGACGCACAGAAGGCCTTGGGAGGCTTGGTTACACACTAATGCACTCTGACCCGAATCCATGGCGTTAGACCGGGGCATCATCCGTCCAATCATAGCTTGACATTTTCCCAAGGTACACATGCATTTGTTGACTGAGAAGAACCGGAAGGCCTCGTTGTAGACTCCGAAGATCAAACATGCATATTATTTACACTTCAGGCAGCGCGTGTAATACGTGCTAGGCTAGGATCCCATCCTCCGAACTGTCCAGACGTCTAACAGGAATGAATCGGGGCAAAGGATTGCGCAATATTTACTTGATCGGGAAGATAATATGCTACCCAATGCAACATGGCTCATGCGAGTTTCTTACTCCAGGGATGCAGTGCGAAGGGAATTTCCACGCGTTGGGACTGTCTACCAGTCGGGCCTATCACTGCGCCCGCATTCAATGTTCGGAGTCAACGTCCACGTCACTTCACATGCACACACCTTTGTGCATACATACTCGCGTGCTCGGTTTTACGCACGACGTGCGAATTGGTATGGCCTGGGTTGGCATCATGATGCACATGTGGATGCTATCTACGGTGCACGCATTGGACATCAATTGATTCAACCTTGGTTTGTTTGAACCTTCCAAGGTTGGAATTCAATCCGGCTACCTCGATCCAAACATGTATAAACCCTTAGGCCCCCCTCAGACTATCATCCATCATCCTCAGATACTATCGATTCCATTCTCACAAAAAAGCCTCCTATAGAACTTACTCGCGGTTTACAAGCCCGCACTCTTTAAATATGGTACGACACCTGGAGAACTTTGGAAATTCGAGATTAAATGTTCAGTGATACATGAGATATGTACATATTGCTAACTGAGGTCCAGCCTCGATCAGTCAACAACGCAACTGAGGAGAGATCTCAGCCATGGAAGACGATGCAGGAAGTCCAAAATCTGTACAAGCCAGAGCCTGCCCCTCGTGATGCGAATGCCGACATCGCCGCCGATATCGAGTCCAAGGAGATTGAAGACGAGCCTTTGAAGCTCAATGGCCTCAAGCTGCAATTTAACTCCGCAAGATCCAACATTGCGAATGTGGAGGAGCAACACTGAGCATTTGAGACCCGCGCTATCCTACTCGGGGCCGCTGAGTGAATTTGGCCTCAAGGTCAGGCCTGACAGACCAATTTGTCATTAATTCGCTATATACGTGGACTAGCCCCTGTTCCTTCTTGTTAGAAAGGACAACATTTAAATATTGGAATCAAACATGTGTGCACACAACATTTGAACCTGAAAAGCCTTTCACTAGAGAGTAGTACGTTTAAACTAAGATGCAGGGGACTGAGGTCACTCAGGTTCCAGGGCTTCCGGAAGATGCTTCTAAGATTTTGAATGTCCCGTTTCAACATAGCACTGCTACTATCGATACTATCGCGAATGGAGAAGAATGAATAGCCGACGAGCAAACATTTGAAGCGGATTTCTCCAGTAGTAGTTGACCATATCGACGCCACAGACTTCTTCTAGGTGAAAGAGGACACAAAAAAGGGTTGATAGACTCTGGAGTAACATCAATATCTTTTTGAAAACCACTTAGAGCTCGACTTGATCAGTTTGTTTGCGTTCAATGGATGTCGTTCGTAATCCTTATCCTTGCTTGTGAGGGAACATAGGTTACCGGGAGCTAGGCGCGTGAAAATGACCCTCCTTCGTTTGAATCCTCTTCCGGACAATTGTGACAGCAGTTCAAATTTTTGGATATACATCGTAATTGCCTTTGGAGATGGACCGGGTGGACTTCCTGTCTTCGATCTACAACGAGTCATTCATTGCATGACTGAAACAGGGCCACCCCTGAGAGTGGCCGAGGAAAACATTCCAAATCATAGGAAGCCAGGTTGAGGAATGTGCAGCTACACCTAATTGGCACCTTATTGGCTTGTGGTGTGTGTACACTCCAGCTTCCCCACTTCGCAAGGCTCACTTAGCATTTGAGGTCCGGAGGGGAGTCCGGCGGGCCTCCGACGTGGAGACCAAACACTTGAGGATGCATAAAAGGATTGATGCATAAAAAGATTGATCCAATGATATAGCGTCAATGTATATTCGAATATTTCATTGCCACAATGGGTACGAGCCTGTTTGACTTTAGTGCCGGACCCCTGGCTGTGGTTATGAGACAACGCATAAGAGTGCTGTGGCCACCTAGGTAGCTGCTCAGAGACTCCGTGCGTCGGATCTGTCGTTCTCACAACAATCAATAGATATTCTTCACGACATGTTTGCCGCGGTCGTCGGGTTCGCTCTTCTCCTATCATGGGTCATTTCATCGATCTATCGCAACCACAGTTCCAGCTTAAAAGACATCCCCAATGCGCATTTCTCCGCTCCATACACACGCCTATGGTTGCTGTCGCTCCGATGGCGGAACATGGAGCATCGTACCCGAATTCATCTCCATCGTCGCCTCGGTCCAGTCATTCGAATTGGTCCTCGTGATGTGAGTGTGAATTGCATAGATGACGGGGTTCGCACAATCTATAGCAGCAAGTTCGACAAAGATGCGACCTTCTACAATGAATTGTTCGATCAGTAAGTTCCCGAAACCATCTTTAGCTTCCAAATTTGATGAAAAGTCGATGGGCTAACTTATTACAGGACCAAGTTCATGGTCACCATGACAGGTGGTGCAGAGCACAGGGAGCGTAAACGCATGCTTACCCGCCCTTATACCAATTCGTACATTCTCATCTCTCCAACTCTCGATGATGTCCTTTCTCGCGTATCGCAGCGCCTTAAAGAAGCAATTACCAGCTGGGCAAATACGGGTACCTCTGTCGATGTCTATCAGCAGGCTAAATGTTGCACCCTTGACGTTGCTTCCGGCTGGCTCTTTGGTAGCGAGAATGCGACCGATACTTTACGAAACCCGGCATTCGAGAATGACCTCACAACTTTAGCTTCAGCTGGCTCCAAGATAATTACCATGAGGACCAGCCTCGACTGGCGCATGACCTATTTTGAAAACTGGTTTGGCAACAAGCTGCCCGATCCCGAAATCACTTCTCGGTGGCAAGGGTGGCTCACACGAGTAATCACTCATTCCTACAAGTGGCACTCCACCAACTCACTTTCTACCCCGAGCCTTTTTGACCATTTTTATGATTCTTTCAAAGCCGCCAACCCCGAAATGTCGCGTAACGAAATGGCTTCCTTGATCGCGGTGGAGTGCGACGACCATCTTTCGGCAAGCCACCTCGGCCTGGGGACATTACTGTCATATATCATGTACGAGCTATCAATAGATCAGAACTGTCAGCGTGCACTCCGGCAAGAGCTCCTCACTCTGGCCAAACCTAGCGATCGAAGCCTAGCCCATCGCCTTGCAGATTTGCCAGTGCTTGACGCCGTTGTCACGGAGACCATGCGAACCCGTGCACCCTGTCCCGGCCCTTTCCCTCGTGTTGTGCCAGACTCAGGCTGCCGGCTCGCGGGAAAGTTTGATGTCCCCGGTGGCACCATCGTCAGCTCCTCCGCCTGGGCCCTCCACTTCAATCCCGTCCCTTTTCCCTCTCCAGAAGAATGGCGACCAAGGAGGTGGCTTGAAGCAGACGAGAACATTGTCATGGAGATGCGGAGGTGGATTTGGACATTCGGAAGCGGCGCGCGGGTGTGCATTGGCATTCATTACTCTATGCGTGGTAGGTTCCATTCGGTCACTCTTCCGTAATGACCGTTTCATGGAATAACGTGCTGACGATGCAACTCGCAACCAGTTATCAAAGAGCTTCTTGCCACCATTTATACGGATTATTCGACCTGCCTTGTTGATGAATTCACAGGAAATGTGGAACAGCAGGATGCCTTCTCGGCGGGGCCTGTTGCGGGTTGTCTGAAGCTACGATTTAGAAAACTCACATAACCTGGCCTCCGTCGCAAAACCCCCCCAAAATGGGTCCGGCTATCAAGCTAGAGCGAATACTCGGGAAATGGTTCGAAAAAAAAAAGCGGGCTGTGAGTTCGGGCGAACCGCACGGACGGGTTGTGATTTACCCTGCGGAAATCGAACCGGCGTCGTTACTGAAAGCCAAGTGAAATCCCACTAGAACACGCAGGGAGAAGAGCCACCGGCGCCATTTTTGCTTGATTATATCCACTATTTACAAATAATCATACCCGCCGTTCTTCTGGGCACACATCTGGCAAGATCAGCGTTTCGGGCTCTAGAAATGTCTTTCATTCAATCAGGCCGACTCCAAGTGATAACTGAAAAATGCTTGGAAGAATGAGGCTTTCTATCGCCCGTACCCCAATAGTTCTTTGCCCGTTTATCCCGATCATGTACATAATAAAAATGGCCTAGGGATATATATTGCAGGTATCGAGTCAGCATTCGGGAACACTACCTCAGATATTGTACAGGATATAGCCAAAGAGCACGCAATGAATCTCAAGCCGAGAGAATGTCACACAGAAGACCGGCCGGAGGAAATACTACCATCTCGAATCTGATATTTAGAAATCATCGTTTCGCACTGTTTCTCAACTTTGCATATAGAACGAAGACCCCCACTATAACGGGATGGGTGTTTACCGTTGGCCGCTGCTTCACCGCCCGGGGGTCACCGCACTGCCCATCACCATATTGATTCACGATTCACTGGTTCAGTCCCCATTACGATCATCACCATCTCCCAACCATCACTCACCAGCCCTCACTCACCAGCCCTCACTCACCAGCCCTTACTCACCAGCCCTCACTCATATCCAGACCTCACCATCAATACATCAGCACCATCAACACACCAGCACCATCAACACACCAGCACCATCAACACACCAGCACCATCAACACACCAGCACCATCAACACACCAGCACCATCAACACGTCAGCACACCACCCATTCACCGTCGAAACTCCGTATCTCCCTACATATAAACAAGCCCCGTTGCCACTGCTAGCCAGCAGACACAAGTATTCACACCAATGGAGACTACATAGATTTCAGCCGCCATCCAGATTAGCCACCCCACTATTAATACTCTAATGCACAATTCGTAGAAGTAAATGTACATTCTAGAAGGCCAGGGCGTCTTTAAGCGCTACAAAGCACATTGTTCAAACCAGAGCCATATACGGTGGCATCTAAGTGCAATACTGAAGTCATTTTACAACATATCTTATTAGATTTTTGGTTCTATCGACTCTTTAGAGCAGGTCTTGGCTTCTTCAAGGACTCCCTCGAATACTAGTCTCTAACACCACAAAGAGGTGCCTGCATCACCAGAGAATCAGGACAAGCACCACAGCACCACGGGTCGCCTAACAAGCATAAATTTGATAACACAGAGCTTAAGACTACATAGAAGCTCAAGATTATACAATCACAGGGCTCAGGGCTGTAAGGGAGAACTTAGTGTCGCAGCGGTCTCCTACAGAGGCTCTTGATGTCGCAGATGTCCCTGCGGAGCACATTTATACAACACAGAGCTTATTAGCTGCGAGGGAGCACACTCTTACAATCACAGGGCTCATTACTGCGAGGGAGAACTTGTTGACACAGCACCCTCCTACGGAGTTCAATTAGTAACACAGTGTCCCCCTGCGAGGCAGACTTGATTACACAGAGCCTGTCCCGCAAAGAATTTTTGGTAACGCAGATCTTATCCTGCGAAGAACACCTAAGTGGCTCGGGAGTGTGAGGAGGAAAGTTCTAAGTCTTCTTTTGATAGAAAGGGTACGTCTTTTATACTCTTCCGGGTATGTTTTCCAGTAGCGACCACTTGCGTATATCCTTCCGGGCCCAGAAATTTCCACTCAATATTTGTAGTAGGCGACCGTATTTTTACTAGGTATTGAGACAGTTGATTTAACGTTGAAATAAGAAATTCTAAGAGTTTCGAGTGGAGTGTAGGTAGAGTGGCTGGTTCTATGGGTTAGGATGATTACTTGCTCAATGGAAGATTGGGAGGAGCGGTGTTTTCGTCAAATTCCCGGTAATGTACCACTCCCAGTCAATTGAGCTGACCGATAATTCGCGCTGCGGTTGGCTGAGGTTGACCGTCTAGCAAGATCGCCTGCCATTGCGTAGGCTGATTGATCTCTTGG